AGGAGGTCAAGGCTGGGTGTTGCTATCGCATTTGGGGAGTGGGAGATGTAGTGGCTGAACAAAGAGAAAGCATGCCAACAGGGGAAGGAATTTCCCAGCTCCGTGGGTAGAAGGAAGAGTCATAATGTAGTTTATCATCTTTAAAGATACACAGAGTCAGAGAGAGAATGAATTCTTCTTCATAACCCAGTTCCTGGGATATTTTTACTGTGCATCATAAATTATAATCCCTTCTTATTTTTGTTTTATAGCCTGTCCCTGGCCGATTCAGGTGATGTATGGTCTCATTCTCCCCTAGTGTTTTAGGAACAATTTCTTTGTCTTTATCTCTCCCAATCTATTGCTATCTCCCTTGACCTCTCTTTATACGATGTCTCTCTGCCCCTTTCTATCCCCAGGGCAGCATTGATGTGGGCTTGGAGAGCCATAAGCTACCCATGATGAAGGCTGGGAAGCAGGATATCATCAGTGGTTTAGAGACCCAGAGGGCAGCGATGAGAGGAGTGCCTGCTATGATGGCCCCAATCTGTCTGTCACTCGCAGCTCAGCTGCAGTGGTCCTAGCCAAAACCCATCCTTGATGGTGGCAGCATCTCAAATGCCCCTAGCTTACACAACTGGAGCTACTGTATAGAAAGCCAGACTCTGGGCTTCCTCACAGAAAAGGAAAGCTGCTCTAACTGGGCTCTGTCCCCTCCTATTTCCTCCTGGCCTGGCAGGGAGAATGGAGGATGTGCCCAGGAGGAGGCATGGCCAGAATGCTGCTGCCCTCAGGTAATGCCCAGCTGGCATCACAGCTGCCTTATGGCATTGCTCCCATACAGTGTCTTGACAGCAGCCTTGAGGCTGGGGCCTGTTCCTGGCTCTGCTGTGGGATCTGAGCCAAGTCACTTTCCCTTTGCGCCACTGTTGCCCCTTCCACCCTTTACACATCACATCTAGTTAGCCTCTGAGCTCTGTGAGGCAGGGATCCTCTCTCTCACTATGTGTGACATGAGCCTGCACCCAACACCTAGGACTGCTGGTAACCAGGGCATAGATGGCTCTACATATGCCCGGTTTCATAGACCCTTCCTTTCCCACATCTGCTGTTTGCTGCTGTCAGAGACAGGTCACTAACTTGTGTGGATCTTAGGCCTGACTCGGTGCAGCTGCTCTTATTGTATCACCATAGGTGATCATCCCATAAGTGACTGGCCCATGGTTACCCAGGGAGGCAGTATCAGAGCCCAGGAGCACTGACTGCCAGTCTCCCACTCAAATCTCTTATGTTCAGCAGCTGCCTCCACTCTGGATACACACTTGTGAAACACATCCAGAGCCCTTTTCTCCTCCTGGGTTGGAGCCTCACGACGGGTGGCTTGAGTTGTCATCGGCCGTGACGGTGGCAGGTCACAGAGAGATCGTTCTTTAACCACTACCTTCCTGTGGGCTCCTTGCAACCATGGCTGCACCTTGATCCAGCTCTGGAAGATGTTTCCAATTCCCTGTTTACCTTTGCTGCTCCTCTCAGGCTGAGGGCAGGGAACAAAATATCCAAGCTGCTTGGAGTAATTTTATCTGGGTCACCTCCAAAAGGCACATGCAGGGGGCTTTAAGAAAGCTTTAAGAAAGGGGTGTTAAAACAGTAATGATGTAAGCTGGAGTCCCCGAGAGGGCTACCCGCTGTGTCTGGTCCCCGTAACAAATGTGTGCGAGAAGGGGGACTAGGAAGGGGGGCTGTTAGTGAGCCGTCTGAGAAATGAATGATGATGACCCACCAAGGGCAACAAAGAACAGGGCCAGCCAGGGAAATTAATGGCCTGGAGCCAGCTGAGCAACACTGAGGAATGTGCAGGAAACCAGGAAACGTCTTGCAATACACTCTGCGCCTCGGCTAGTGAAGTTGATGCATCAAGCAGTGGCAGGCTGAGGAGAAGCCGGCTCCGTATGGATCAGAACATGGCTTGAAGTCAGCCTCTCCTTGCTTCTCCTCCCTGCCCCAGCATATACGGTGCCTCATGGTCTCTCTCATGGACCAGGATGCCAGTGGTCAAGGTGCTGTTTGAACCTAACCAGGAAAAGTCCCTGCCCCAAAGAGCTCCCAGTCTCACTCAGCTCAGCCTCTCCTTTTGTGCATCACAGAGAAACCCCCTTTTTCCCCACCCCCATCTAGTCTCAGCCTCTTCCTTCCCCTCCCATCCCAGGACCAGCATGATCTCCAGATTATGCATGGGCTGAGTGAGCACTTCCAAGCCTAAGCATGAGGTTGGCCACTTGGAGTATTAAGCCCTGAATAACTGCTCACAGAGCATCTGTTGCTACCCTCTTTCTTTGGAGGATCGAGAG